AGGACGAGGAGCAGGTGAAGTCCTTTCTGGAGAACATGGAGGTGGAGTGCAACTACCAGTGCTACCGCGAGAAGGACCCGGACGGTGAGCGCCGGCGGCACGGCCTGGGGACACGTGGGGGGACGGGGGAGGGGCGGGGGCTGGACGGGCACGTGAGCGGCCTCACAGTGGATCTGGAAAGGGTCAGGGGTCTGTGGGACTCCGGCGGCCTTGTGTGTGTTTGGGAGGGGCGTGTTGGGTTCCACGAGGGGCTCGCAGCGGCGGCACGCTCTGCGGGGGCAGCGCCTGGAGGCCCGGCGGGAAGGAAGAGAAGCGTTTGGGCATTTGGGGTAGAGGCACTGGGGCTACATCAGAGAACTGGTAAAATGTCCTGTCCTCATGGGGCTTACATTCTAGTGGGGGGAATTGGGCAATAAACATAAGGAAAAGAGATGAAATAGTGTGTTAGAAATTAGTAGATGCAATGGGAAAAAGAATTGACTGAAGGGTATCAGGAGGGCTATTTAAAATGGAGTGACCAAGGAGAATCATTGAGAAAGTGGCATTTGAACGAAGTATTGAAGGGAAGGGAGAGCCATGCCAGGCAGAGGTACCGACTAGTAAAAAGGCTTTGAGGCATGAGTGTGCCCTTGTGTTCTGGGAACATTGGGTTGACTTCAGTGTGGGTGGATGATGTCCAGAAGAGACCGTCCAAAACAGCCAGTACCTTTGGGTAGTTTTCTTCTTCCTACTTTATTTTTATAAAGAAGGAAAAAAAGAGGCAGTGGCCTTGCCTTCTAATAACTTGCAGTCTAGCTTGAAGCTGACCAGACTGTACAGATTTGCTCTGCAGTAGGATGGCTTAAACAGAACCTAGAGTTGTTCTTCGAGGGCTGGTCCACGTCTTAAGTGTAGAGAGAATTCACAGGAGTTGGAGTCACTGACAGCAGGATGGCTGGGGGAAACTTCTGGAAGAGGTCAGCAGGAAAAGACGATAGTGTTGAGTAAATGGAGCCGAGGGAGAGAAGAAGATGCTGTATTTGGAAGGTTGAAGTCAGAATGTCTTCAGGAATAAGAGGGGCTCTGGGCCGCAGTGTGTCAGACTGGAATGCTAGGGTAAGGCTGTAGTAGGACTATATTCTGTAAGCTGTGGAGAGCCTTGCATATTTTCGGACTCTAGAGATACACCGACCTATGCAGTGGGGAAAGGTGGGCACTTTAGAAAGAGCCTGAGAGGAGGCTGTAGTTACTATAGCTACTTCTTCAAAAAATCATTTCTCAATGAACTACTGACATAGCCTTCTAATATGACTCTCCATTTACACCTTCACTCCCTTAAAAATCTGTTCTCTACTTACAGACTAGTATTTTAATTTTAATTTTGTTACATTAAATGTTTATTAGATTTTTAAATAACAAAAATAACACATTTGTTGTTATCAGTGCTGGAGCATGTCCCCTCACACTTAACTTCCACCATATTCATCCAGACATATACAAACATATACACTAAAGTAACCTTTTAAAAATATAGATTGAAACATGACACTTCCTTTCTTAAAAGTCCTCCAGTAACCACTGACGATTGACTTGGTATAAAATCCTAATTCCTTCCTATCTTCTCCAAGGCCCTGTGATTGGTCCCTGCCTTCTCCTCCTCAATTCCTGCCCCTTTCCTCCTGGATCCAGCCACATTATACCTTATTTGTGCCAAGGTTATTCCTTCCTTTGGATTTTTTTAAAATTCACTGTTCCTTGTGCCCGGGACTTTCTGCCTCCTCCCTGTTTCATTGTCTTCAAATGGCTAGTTCATTCTTGTTATTCATGTCTCAGCTCAGATATCAGTCCTTGAGAGGCCCCCTGATCACCCAATCTATGTTAACCATCCCCCCAACGTGCACAACTGTCTTATCATCCAGCTTTATTTGTCATGATATTTATTACTGTTTGAATGCATCTTGTTCACCTATTTACTTGTTTATTGTGTTTCCTCCTCTAGAATGTAATTTTTAGGAGGGGAAGTGACTGTATTCCTAGCAACTAAAACAGAGTCTGATACATTGATGCAAATAGATGCTGAAATATTCCTTGAATGAAAATGAATGAGAGATGGGTGTTACTGTGGACGAAGAAAAGGGACAGAGAGGAAAGATATTAAGGAGAGGCTTGCTGGGACTAGAGTGCCAAGGAGGCCAAGTCTATTTCCAACTCCTTTGGTAGCTGCCATTTTGACTGTTTCTTTGGGCTTTCTTCTGGGCTCATGTTACCAGCCTGGCCAAGGATTAAGGCATAGTCGTCAAAGCACCCCTTTCTTGCTACTAACCCATGGGCCCTGTTGATTTTCAGTGTTTCACTGCTGAAATTCCTGAGAAGTTCTCAAAGTTAGCAAAATTTCTATCGTGGAAGTAAGTATGTCTTTGGGCCTGGATGTCAAGGAGCAAAAGGGCTCCACCATTCTGGAAGGGCTGGGGAATAGTGGAGCCAGTGCAGAGGCCAAGGTCTCCCCAGTGTGTACATTGCTCAGTCCCAGACTAAGGGTGGACAATGCCATTTGTAGGAGTGGCTGTACACCACCTGCATTCTTTGTGGTGAGTTCACCTTGCCACACCTCAGGAAGAGAGAGGCTGGTCCTAAGTAAAAGGCACACCTGGACCCCTCCCACCCCTGCTTGCCCCAGACATGAAGAACAGCTTGTGCCTTTTCCTCCCAGGTTGCTATCGGCTGGTAGACTATCTGGAAGGGATCCAGAAGAATTTTGATGAGGCTGCCAAGGTGCTGAAGTTCAACTGTGAAGAGAACAAACACAGTGATAGCTGCTATAAACTGGGGGCCTATTATGTGACTGGAAAAGGTAAGGAGGGGCCTACTTTCTTTGGTCCTCATGGTTGATGGTGGTGCTGACATCACATCCTGAGCCTCGTGCTGAGGCCACTTCACAGAATATAGGTAAAAGCCTCAGCATGTGCCAGGCAGAGAGAAAGGGGCCAATAATTAATTCCTTTCCATCTGTCTTTTCTCCTCATGTCCCAATTGCAGTTGGTAGTGAGTAGTTTTTAAGTTATCTATTTAACAAATTATCCCAACAAACCTGTCATTTCCTGTAATTCCTGTGGGCCTGGAATTTGGGAGTAGCTGAGCTGTGTGCCTCAGGGTCTCTCAGTGAGTTGCAGTCTAGACATTAGCCGGGGAGCCAGGGCTGTAGTCCTTTGAAGGCTTGGCTGGAGCTGGAGTTTCCAGTTCTAAGCTGGCTTGCTTGCATGGCTATCAGTGAAGGCTTCTGTTCCTTGTCAGCTGTTAGCAGGAGTCCTCAGTTCCTTGTGACATGGCTCTCTCCCTGGGTACTTGTGTGTCCTCATAACATGGCATCTGGCTTCCTCTAGAGTGAGTGGTCTGAAAGAGAGAGCAAGATAGAATCCACAGTGTCTTTAATAACCTGCGCCAGGAAGTCACATGCATTTCATCTCTATCTATTAGAAGTGAGCCAGTAAATTTAGCTTGCATTAATTGGAGAGAACTTAAGTTCCATCTCTTGAAGGAAGGAATATCAGGAATTTGTGAGCATATTTTAAAACCACCACGAATAAGGAGTATAACCTTAGACAGGCAGCTTTTTTTTTTCTCACTAAATCTTGAGCTGCCTGAGTATATGATTCATTCATCCCTTGTTCCTAGTGCCCAGTGAAGCCTAATTAGAAGGCCATTCAGTGAAAGTTTGATGAAATGGATGTCTTTTGTTTGTTTTGTTAGTGGCAGTACTGGGGATTGAACCCAGGACCTTGTGCATGCTAAGCACAAGCTCTACCACTCTTAACTGTTTTTTTCCCCAAATTATTATACCCTTGTTGTCTTCCAATTTAGCAAGTGGTGTCTCTCTCTACCTGGTAGCTCATGGCCAGTTTATCTCCAGAATATGTCTCAAATCTGTTGTGTCTCTCCGTTTCCTGCTGCCACACTTAACCCAGGTTGCCTTCCTCTCCTGCTTCATTATATTTAAGAGATTAATGCAGGTCCCCAATCTTCCTTCCATAAAGCAGTTAAAATGAACTTTTAAGGATATAAACCATGGATTCAATAAAATATACGAAGCACCTGTTGTACAGTGTTTTCAAGGCATTGGAAAACAGTGTAGTACTACAATCCCAGAGAAAAGGGAAACCCAAAAGATGAGCCCTATCCATGATTGCTTTGGCTTTCTGCCTAGAGGTAGTTTCCAGATTAGGCACAGATTGGTGGAAGGCAAGTAAAGTATGATAATCTTGCTGAACTGATAAGGCTGCTGGAGTTTGCCGGACAAGTTACCAGAGAAGGAGTTATACAGAGAAGGAGCTCCAGATATCCACATGGGGTGCTCTTATATACGTCTTTGGCCCAATGTTAAAGCACATGTATAGCAGGGAATTCTGAGAGACCTTGCAGTGAAAAGCTACTAGGGAGCTGTGAACTGAGAAGAGTTTCCAGAGATTTCACAGTGTTTTGGGAATGGTTTGAATTCCATCAGCCAGAGCGGAGAGACCTCATTAAATACCACAGACATTCACCTGAGACTCTGGAAAGGTTCCAAAACTTAAAAACAATCCTGAAAAGGATCAGGCTGATTCACCAGTAACATAGCTATCTGCCAGAATTAAACTCAACGGTTTTTAGTAAAACGCAAGAGATTTATGCGATCTGAAGAGAAACAAGAATATAGCAGTCTGTAAATGATTACAACAAAATTCAGACTGAATAAAGTATTATGTACAATGTTCAGCATAAAATATGAAATTACAAAACAGAAAAAAAGCAGTCAATAGAAATAGACTCAGGTGTGACAGGGATGTTGGAATTAATGGTCAAGTATTTTTAAACAAGTGTGAATAATATGTTAAAGGTTTAAATAAAAGATGGACACAATGAACAGATGAGAAATCTCATCAGAGAAATTGAAAGTATTAAAAAGAACCAAATGAGATCCTGCAGTTGAAAAACATATTTGAAATGAAAATTTCACTGGACAGACTTAACAGCAAATTAGGTACTTTAGAAATAAATAATTAGTGAATTTGAAAGATCAGTGAACTTGAAGACAGGTTTGTAGATGTTATCTAAAGTGAAGCACTGAGAGAAAAGAACAGAGCCTCAACCTATGGGTTTCAGTATCCCTTAATCTATCTAGAAATAGAAGAGATTGGGGCAGAAAAAAATATTTGAAGAAATAATAGTACAAAATCTCCAAATTTGATGAAAAATATTACTCCACAGGTTCATGAGGCTCAGTGAACCCAAACAGATAAGTAATGATATCCACACCTAGACACACTATTACCATTTTGCTGAAAGCCAAAGGTAAAGAGAAAATCTTAAAAGCAGTCAGAGAAGAAGACACATTGAGGGGAGCAGTGGCGAGAGTAACCAGTGACTTCTTATCCGAAGCAACACAAGCCAGAAGACAAAGAACAACATCTTTTAAATGCTGAAGGAAAGAACTGTCAAACTTGAATTTTACTTTAGTAAAAGTATTTTTTAAAATGAAGATGAAATCAGTTCATTTTCTGATAAAAGCTGAGTGAATGAGTTGTTTCTTGTAACTACAAGAAAAATTAAGTAGTTTGGGTTGAAGGAAAATGGTAACAGATGGAACCTAGGATCCATACAAAAGAATAAAGCACCCTAGAATATACACATAAATTTAAGACATAAATATTTTTCCTTATTTCTTAATGTCTTTAAATGACTGAAGCAAAAATAATAGTAATGTGTTATGGGGCTTATACTATATAGAATTAAAACAGAAAGGTAGTATACTTAGAAGTAATAGCAATAGTACAAAGGATTGAAATGTGGTAAATGAAAGTATACTGTTATAACGTTCTTACATTATATGTGAAGTGGTGTAATATTCTTGGTAGATTGTACTAAGTTCAGGATACATATTATCATCACTAGATAAGCTGGTGATGAAGTATTACTAAAAAACCAATGATGAGAATGAAATGGACTATTAGAAGTATACAATTCAAAATAATTGTAAGAAGGGAAAAGAAAGAACCAAAAACACTTGGGACAAATGGGAAACAAATAAGATTGTAGACTTAAACCCAGCTATATCAATAATTGCATTCAATGTAAGTAAATACTCCAGTAAAAGGCATAGATTAACAGGCTGGATATAAAAGCAAGACCTAACTCTATACTGTTTAAATGGAAAGGTGTCAGGAATACATTCTCAAAACTGAAAGAACTCAGGGATATACAATTTATGAGTTTTCCTAGAAAAATCTATCTGATAACCAGTGAAGAGGTAAATCAAGAAAAATAATTCAGGAATGGAGAAACTCTTACGAAAAGACTGTTGAGCAGAATCCATTTAGAATACATACTGGGCTAGTTACTGTTACTGAATAGAATGTAAATATATAAACATTTATGGCATAAAAACACTATGGCATTTACTAAGCACTTACATACCGAGCTCTTTGTAATAACACTTGTAAGCTTCTGGCATGTGAGTTAGATACTATAATCCTTATTTCACAGATGGGGAAAACTGAGGGTTGTGGAGTGTAAGTAATAAGCTCAGTGGTAGAATGTGTGCTTAGCATGCACGAGGTCCAGGGTTCAATCCCCAGTACCTCCATTAAAATAATACCCAACACCCCCTCCCAAACTTCTAATCACACCCCCACCTCCCCGCAAGTTAAGTAATTTGTCTATGGTCACGCTGCTGACAAGTAATGGAGCCACGACTGGAGCCTGGGTTTTCTGGCTGTAGAGCCCAGGCTTCATTAACCACTGTGCTGTGTGTCTCCCTAAGTTGAAATAACATATTTGACAAAAAGTCAAAGGCAGGGGAAGAGAGGTGGGAGGAAGTGTGAGGTAACAACATCCTTATCTTCTGTAGTTGTGAATAAATAGTGTCTGAAATCTGGTTAAATACATACAAGCAGTGACTCTAGCCTTTTAATTTTTGATAATCTCTTTATAACTCTAGGGACTCATTTAGGACATTTCTCTGTTGAAGCAATATTCATTTGAAGTTTAGCAATTTCTTCAGTTTCACTTCAGTTTGGTATTCTTAATGATAAATTCAAGTAAAATCAGTTACTTTTTTATTTACAAATAGCATACGAATGAAAAAATGCTCAGTATCGCTAATTATCAGAGAAATGCAAATCAAAATTACAATGAGGTGTCACCTCACACCAGTCAGAATGGTCATCATTAAAATAGTCCACAAATGATAAATGCTGGATAGGGTGTGGAGAAAAAGGAACCCTCCTGCACTGCTGGTGGGAATGTAGTTTGGTGCAGCCATTGTGGAAATCAGTATGGAGATTCCTCAAAAAACTAAAAGTAGACTTACCTTATGATCCAGCAATCCCACTCCTGGGCATGTACCTGGAGGGAACTCTAATTCAAAAAGATACACGCACCCCAGTGTTCATAGCAGAACTATATACAATAGTCAGGACATGGAAACAAGCTAAATGTCATCAACAAGATGACTGGATAAAGAAGTTGTGGTAC